GTAGGTATGAAGTGGCATCGAGGAAACAACCGATGAAACGCCTCTTATGCCCGTCAGTTGTGACCCTCTCTCGACGTAGCCAGACTTTGATCCAGGAACGAAGAATGCAGCCTAATAAGCAGCAGCATCATTTTGCAACCCTATAAAGGAATTCCACAGCTTTGACAGGATAACACCCCCCCAAAAGTGGAGAGAGAGAGAGAGTCAAGGCAGACCCGCCTCGAGCATTGATACCCACCCTGACGGACCCTCCCTCAGGTCTCTCGGACGACCCTCCCTCTACTTCCATTGGCCCTCCCGCTGCCAACTCATCACATTTTCCCTTCCTTGTGACAAAAAGTCCGTCATCCCATGTCACTGATTGGTCGCAATGAGAATACAGTCATGCCTAAGGCACCGTGCCTTATTACTTTCTCTTCTCAATCCAATCGAGCATTTAAACACGATGTCGGAGATCCTTCCCCAAAGTTACTAATCGTTAGTTTAATCCATTCACTTTCGCCCGACAAAAACTTTGCTGGGGGATCAACCTCCCCAGCCACTGGACCAGCCACCCGGCCCTTGCTCGGCTCGCCACGATCGACGGGTATTCGTAGGTTGCATTCATCAAATCAACCTTCCAGGACCCGGGTGTCTGCCATTACCCGAGGATAGTAGTATATTTATGTACTCCGTATGCTGTCTGCTTACGCGAACCGTGGAACGGAAACGCTCTGTATCCTTGGTTCCGCTGACCCTTATCTGAACCGTCTTCATCCCTCGTTATTTAGCCGGAACTCGGTCGCCGGGGGTAGGTTGTATAGAATGTAGGAGCTATCGAAATGCTGCTCCAATGTAGTTCCTGGCTCTCTGAGCTAGGAACGCCAATTTTCTCTTTTTGCTCGGTTTCATGACTTGACGATCGTACCAAATGCGCATGGTATGTTCGTGGACAAAATAAACGGCAGATTTTCCTGACTGCGGGGGACGTCGTATCCGGAGATGGCACCCTTGCAAGAAAAAAAAAAGTACAGAAATAGATGGCTGCACCTGCGGTCGCATTAACAACGGTACTACCTTAGGCATCATGGATGACCTACATGGCCTAGACAGGGGAAGGAACGAGGTTGAATGCTGTAATTTTTAGTATTTCCTTAAAGACGTATCTAGATACAATTCCATAGCTGATGTACGGAGGCAAGTAAAATAGGATATGCCATGATAATAATATAGAAAAAAAAAAGTTCCAGGTAAAACTCCAGGCCAACGGACAAAAACATGCAAGACAATTGCTTTTCCCCTCTACTAGATCGAATCAGTCATCATTATGCTTGCGCTTGAACTTCGAGCCGGGCTGGCTGCCGTAGTTCCGTCGGCCCTGTGGTTGTTTGTCTTTCAGGCTGGAACCGAGCTGGATATCGATGCGGGGAGGTGTCGAGAAGCCGAAGCCCTTCGATACCTTAACCAGGTCGAGCTTTTGCACGTCGAAGACGGACCGGAGAGAATGGGAGGCATATGCCTGAAGGTAGGAGCGGTAACCTTCCTTGGCGGACTTTTTGCAGATGCATTAGTATAAGAACAAGAGATGATGCCTGAATGAGGGTGGCTTACCTTGTTCAAATAGTAGTTCTGACCAATGAGCTTCTCCAGTTGAGACTGAACATTAACAATCTTCTGAGCCGGGAAGTCAAACTCCACGACGGGTACTCGGGCCTCCTTCAGATGCTTCAAGAACCCTACTTCCGATGGTTGCAAGAACATCAGACTGCGCCCCTTTCCGTTAGATCCACGGGCTGTACGACCAACACGGTGAATGTAGTCACGGGGGTCATCTGGGGGATCGAACTGGATAATCCAGTCCACGGCGGGAATCTTGAGGAAGTTAGACGGGTGTAACAGCGATAGACATCAGGGCAGGGGGCAATTGACATACATCCAAGCCTCGGGCGGCAACGTCGGTACAGATCAGAGTTCCCTGCTTAGCATTGCAGAACTCAAAGAATGTGTTGGTCCGCTTCTGCTGCTTCTGCTTTCCGTGCAAGTCAAGCACAGGGAGATCGATATACTATAGTTCCGTCGCGTTAGCTACAAACCTTTGCTCCTGAAATTGGTTATACTTACGTTGAGCAATTCACCGTAGTATTTGACAGAGTTGCAGCTGCTCAGGAAAACGATGATCTTCTTCTTAAGGTTGCGCTTGAGGAAAGAGAACAGGAGCAAGAAACGCTTGTCAGCTTCACAGATGACATAGCCTTGCTCCAATCCTTCAACGGTACTGTGCTCCTTGCGATGGTCCACGTTGATGTAGAGAGGGCCAGGTCTGAGAGAGATTCGAGCCAAATCCTCAACCTTGGTAGTCTGCGTCGCGGAGAACAGCATGGTTTGTCTGTTCTCAGAAGGAAGGATCTTGGCAATTTGGCGCATTTCATCCTCGAAACCGACTTCCAGGATACGGTCCGCCTCGTCAACTGTCAACAGTTAGTCATTCCATTCACCCACTCGCAATGCCAAAGAGGGCCATCATACTGATAAGTGTGCGCAAGTTCTTGAACACGAATCCTTGCGTATTCTGAAGATGATCAAGCAGACGTCCAGGTGTTGCCACGAGAAGGTTAACACCCTTCATGAGTTTTTCCGCCTCGGCTCTCCTGTTTGCACCTCCGATAACAATACCATAGGTCTGGCTGTGATGTGCCAAGAGTTCCCTAACTTGACCGAAAATCTGAAGTGCAAGCTCGCGAGTAGGACTGACAATAATGGCACCGGTACCTAACCAAAACGCACCGATTAGTATATAAACTTTAGAACCACATGAAAATGTGTATTACATACCGTTTCTCGGCTTGAATCGTAGAGCGCTAAGCATTTCAATGGCAGGAATCAAGAAGGACAAGGTCTTTCCGGAACCAGTCTTTGCAGCACCGAGAACATCGCGACCAGCAAGGAGAGGAGGAATTGTACGCCGTTGAACTTCCGTCATCGTCTCGAATCCCATTCCCTCGATACCCTGCATAGTCTTCTCTGACAATCCCAGCTCCGTAAACTTCACCGGATCGCCATCCTGCTGAGGGAGACGGATTGTATCCGCAGAAGGCAGATCCTCACCGTTGGCGGCGGGTGTCTCTTCAGCATCGCTCTTCTCCTCATCGTCAGAGGCCTCCTGCTCAGATTCCTCCGCATCCTTCTTCTCGTCATCGCTAGACATGTGTTCGACCTTCTGCTTTTTGGACTTCTCTTTCTTCGCCTTCTTCTTATCGACGCTAACTTCTTCCTTTTCGGGAGATTCGATCACGGCTTCAGTTGTAGCCGGGGCAGCAGCCTCTTCCTTGCGCGCATTTCCACCATGCTTTCTCTTGCGCTTCTTCGAGATAGATTGAGCAGTATCCACGGGAATCGGCATTTTGGCTTAAATTCCTCCAGGGGTGTTTTCCTGGAAAACTTGCCAAATGAAAAACGTGAGATGCGGAGCCTTTTTTTTTTTTTCTCGGCGGAAGACAATTTTTTGCGGAGCGAAAATATTGCCTGGTCAAACTTCCCGCATCACGTGCTGATAGCCATTGATAGCTAGGCGGTCTGAAGATCATGCGCCATGCTACTAAGGCAGAAATCACCCCTATGTGGCAATGGCGCTATTCCGTATAAAGTAGTATCATATTGAGTCACGGGTAGTGGGGAACAGCATCATGCAGATCAATATTCTCCCAGTCAGATTAATGAAATACTCTTTTAAAAACTTCTATGTGCATATATCGTACTGATTACTTTCCATGATTTCTGACTAGTTAGCTGATTTGGAGGAGCTGAACTGCCCCGGGAACTCTCATAGCTAGGCTATCCTAGGGATGAACAGCGGATTCACTAAGCTCAGAATCAAGTGTCAGGAGAGTGCTTGATAGTTAGTAAGGTATACCATGTTTAATGTGCTTGCACATATATATTAGCTTCGTCTTCCAAAACTTCCTTGTTCATAGGGACGAAAAAACAAGAATGAAGGAGTTCTATACCAAGATATTACATCATGCGGCGACCACGTGGAGGAACGTATCTGAATACAAATAATGATGACCAAAGGGGTTGTTTCTCGAGATTTTCGTTTCTAATTGAAGATATCTTAGATAGCAGCGATATTATATGACCAATGATGGAGAATAGTCGTGATAAGCCTATCCATGCCAATCGCATGATGCGCGTTATCTGCATCGGAGCAGGGCCGTCAGGATTATATCTTGCATATATGCTTAAGACATAATTTACGGACTATACACTGAAAGTGTATGAGAAAAATGAGGATGTCGGGGGAACATGGTTCGAGAATCGATATCCCGGATGTGAGTATTTCTCCTCGAGGGGGCGAGTAACAAAAATCTGATAACCAGGCTCAGGCACCTGCGACGTTCCATCGTGAGTGTATCATATCATATACTTCTTGGTAAATGAGGGTACTTATTTAAAAGGCATATGTACACTTACTCCTTCGAGCCTAAATGGGACTGGTCAACTAGCTACGCATCAGCACCGGAGATCCATAGCTACTTCTCTGGGTTTGCAGACAAACATGGTCTTCGCGATTTTATCAACTGCAGCCATCGGGTAGTGGGTGCAAATTGGGACGATGTAAACTCACAATGGAAGGTTCGAGTTGAGAATCGTAAGAAGGAAATGTTTGAGACAAGGTGTGACTTCCTAATAAATGCCACTGGCTATTTAAACTCCTGGCGTTGGCCTTCTACACCAGGCCTTGGATCATTCAATGGAAGGCTACTCCATACCGCGAATTGGGATGAATCTTTGTCGTTGACTGGAAAGCGGGTCGGCTTGATTGGGAATGGATAAGGCTAGTTGTTTCTTGCTGTTCAAGACCCCAAGTTGCTGAGTTTGCTAGGTCTTCCGGCGTACAGTTGCTTCCTGAGCTTCAAAGGCAAGTTAAGCTATCTTTGTACGTCACATCTCTAACAGCGCCGATAAGAAATGCAGAACATGTCATAGCTTTCATACGCGAACCGACCTGGCTGATACCAGAAATGAGATATAAAAAACGCAGTTACACAGATGAAGAGAAACAGACATTTCGAGATAATCCCGGGAAACTACTCCAGCTACGGAAAGATATCGAGGCCAACTATGCGACCATTCTGCCCCTCTTCCTTAAAGACACGGTGCCCCAAAAAGCAGCCACCCAAAGGTCGAAGCAATTAATGACGGATGCGATTGGTGATGATCGGCTAGCAGAAAAGCTGATTCCAGAATATCCACTTGGGTGTCGTCGCCTTACAGTCTGATATCCTACCTCACCAGCAGCATATCCTACTAACAGCGTTATAGCCCAGTACGGAATACCTAGAAAGCCTCAAAAAGCCTAACGTCACGCCTGTCATTGGGAGTATCAAAGAGATAATACCGTCTGGCGGCATAATGCTAGACGGCAGCGAGTATGCATTTGATGTTTTGGTATATGCCACAGGTTTCCACACCTGCTTCCGACCCGCGTTTCCATTAATAGGCCGCAATGACACCAATCTTGCCGAAGTATGGGAAAAGGAACCGCGAAGTTACCTGGGAGTCGCAGCCCACGGTTTTCCGAACTACTTCATGTTACTTGGCCCTAACAGCCCCCTTGCAGGCGCAGAGGCACTATATCGCCAGGTTTCTCAATCGGTGGCAGAAAGAAAATATCCGCACGTTCGAGCCTAAGTTAGAAGTCGATGACTTCATGGAGTAGAAGGACTTATTCATGAAGAGCACAATCTGGGAGAACGACTGTCGATCTTGGTTTAAAAACGCCAACACCGGTAAGGTCAGGACTATGGCCTGGGAGCGGGCTGAGCTATATAGAAGCCCTGGCCGTTCAGCGTTTCGAGGATTTCCACGTCACATACGCGACAAAGAACCGGTTCGCCTATCTAGGGAATGGATTCAGTCAAGCGAACTTACAACCTGAAGGCGACCTGACATATTATGTGCGCCACGAGGATAATGGCGAATCGGTGTTTCCTTAGTTGATGAGTATTGATAATGCCAAGGACACCGCCGACTCCCTGGCAAAGGAAGAGATAAATTTGTTGGTCTAGCTGAGCTGTTCCCAGGGAGTCTGTTTAGGCAGTTACAATAGATGTTGCCCACCAGTCGGCTTATCTGAAACGAGATTCTGAGCCACTCATATAGAAGGCTAGTAATATTTTTCAACTAGATTAATAGGGACTGGATATGAAACAGACCACTAATGAGGAAAATGGTGTAGCCAGTGGCCAAGACACGCAGTGACAGTAAAAGTCTTCACGGTCTGGGTTCAGAAAGACCTGGTGCTAAAAATAGGAAACGCCTGCCGCCCATGGTTGAGAAATCAGCTTCATTTCAAGACTTTCCCTGGCAATTACTGGTCATGATTCATTCACTTTTCAAGAATTTTATGAACCAGGAAATACAGGGGAAAATACTGTATAAACTCACCGGGTTCCCCAGGTACGTATCCGATCATGAGGATCTGATGGGGTCAAGACGTCATGACACGCATTCCGATGATGGCAGAGACAACGGTGATCAATGCTGATCACCTCAGGGATGGAGGAGGGGAAATTTCCATTCCCGGAATTTTATCTATAGTATTCCAAGACACACCTGACCTGTAGTGATCGTTGTTCCTATTCTCATGGAATTGATTTGCCCTTCTACGAGACTCGGGAGTAATTCAGAAGGGCGAACCTGATTGCCCTTGTTTTTGAAAGAGAGGGGCTGTGCATTGTAGACTAACGAACAGAATGCCACTTAGTCGGTAACCTTCTTGGTAATGTCAACGCTAGCCGAGTTGTTTAATTAAAGAAGAAAACGAAAGAGGAGAAACATGTTTGGTAGAACAAACGAATACGGAGTACGTTGACAAGAACAGCGGAGACCCGCCTCTTGAGATTGACAGCTTCGATACAAGATAAAACCACGTTATGAGCATATGGGGTATGGAGTGCATATGCGATGGTACTTTCATTGTAGCTCTTGCAGGGTCAATAATGGCCGGTGGATCAAGCAGCATGCACCTATGGACATGCAGTACCTACATTCATTGCGGTAACTTCTCTGATAAAATTGTGAGATATCATGTAGTCAGTTATTAATAGAAATCCATGAAGCAGCAGTCGCCCAGTCCTACGAAGCGTGAAGGGTGTTAGTAGGCAGAAAGACAAGGCAAGGAATAAAAAATTTTTAAAAAAAAGAAAAGAAAAAGGTCGCCAAGTACTCCATAGTCGATGTGTTCATTGACAGGATGGGGGTGAACGGCGGCTATCCTCAGCATCCGAACGCAAGAAATTAGGGTAAGACGAGCGGCAAGAAGATCCACAGATCATACTACTGTGTAGTTGGCTTTTTTTTTTTTTTCTTACCTCTTGCGGTGTCGTATCTGGAGATGCAACTCCACCAGATCAAGTCATGGCTGTAATCTCGCAATCCTCTGGTGGTCTTGGGATCATTCCCAGCCTTTTCGCAGGCGCTAACTAGGTTCTCTTGGCCGTTAGTGGTGAGCAAATCAGAGGTATGAACCGTGGGCAATGAGCATAACCATCCGCATGCGGGCCCAGAACCAACCCCCCTGAGAGACGCGCGTGCGCCGACTGTCACTGAGAAGACGTAAAAGTGGAAAAGAGAGCTCGACTGGTCGTCCATTTCGAGCGAAGGCCGAGTCAATTTGTAGGGAAGATGGCAAGGTTGTCTGCAGGGTAGTAGTCGCCGTAGTTTTGTGTTGGCATCATTCTCATTTCTTGGTTGTTTTTTCCGGATTTTTAGGTTTTAATTCTTTTCTCTTTTCTTCTATTTTCCCCCCTCCCGTGCTTCCCCATACTTCACCCCTTCGTTTCTTTCGAGCCCAACTGGTTGGTGTCAGAAGTGTTGTGCTTCAAGACACACAGACACACATACTTTAGTTTAGTTGTTGCTACAAGAGTGGTCAAGGGCGAGGAAAATCCATTCTTCAGACCATCGCTACGCCAATTGTAATTGGTTCAGACGTTCTAAATCACCCCCCCGTGCTGAGTCAGGGTCTCAGCGTCAGGTGTTTCACGAGCATTCCGACCGTCTCTCCTCCAACCGGGGCTGAGCGGCTTTGATTCTCCCCTGAAGAAATATCGTCGCCTGAAGGAGACAAGAGAGAGGACATCTTCATCTCTCCATCTTTTTTTTCTCTTTTTCTTTTTTTGCTACACCTTCTCCCCTTTCGCTCGTTTCTTCACCCCCCCCTCTCCCCCTCCGAAACTCTCCTCGTCAATTCGAGTGAGAACGGTTTCCTCTCCGTTCCTGGGAGACTCAGGCAACCATCCGTCTCCCCTGGTCCCGACCCCCTTCAAGGCTATACTGTGTGTCGCCGTCCCGCTCGCTTTATTGTACTATTCAACTCTCTACAACTCCCCCGACTATCTGACACTCGTTCACCCATTCCATTCTTTATCATTCGCTTCTTTGGTGCCTTCTTTTATTCAACTATTTTCTCTCTCTCTCCCACCCTCGTCCTTCTCTTGTGCTTTTTATGAGCAGTCGCTGTGGTCATCCAATTACCGCCCAGTGATTCTTCAATGACGTGAAGTTGTAACCAATATAGGAAACTATTTTACAATAATTTTTTACCTTCCGCCAATTTGGATACCTCCTTCCTCGCTCTCGCTTTTAGACGACTTGGCACAAGATTACGACCCAGTGTACCGTGAGACTTCCGCATCCGGCCGGTCCCAAGCTGGTGCTCTGGAGTACCACCTTCTTTTCTATCTCGCTTCTGGTGTCATCCTATTCTCTCGCTTATAACCCATAAAAATCACATTCGCTATCTACCGGAGGAATTGAAGTCGGTAATCCTATCACGAAAATGCGGTTCAAGGCACTTCTATCCACTCTTCTGCTCGCCTTTATCAGCGCACCACTAGTAGCTGCGACCAAACTGATCGAATCCAATGCGCTTAACCTATGCCAAGACAGTTCGAACTTCACAGCAACCCTTTTTAAAGTAACGTTCACGCCGAACAACAGGTCGTTGGTCTTCAGTTTTGATGGAGTCGCTGCAATCTCGGGTAAAGTCAAGGCGGAAATCGTCCTTGATGCGTATGGCTACACTGCGCTTAAAAAAGAACTCGACCCCTGCGAGATGAACATTGGGGGTCTTTGCCCTATGAGTGCCGGACCTATTGATGTCCCGAAGGCTCAGATCGACATTCCGCAAGATATCATAAATAGTATCCCAGGTAGGTACCAACTTTTATGCTTCAGGACGGTCATTGTCGCTAATGTGATCACGTAGGCATTGCATACACAGTTCCCGATCTCGATGCTTCCGTTCGTATTTACATCAACTCCACTGACACTGGCGAAAGCATCGCGTGCGTTGAGGCCTCTTTATCAAATGGCAAGACAGTTTACCAAAAAGGGGTCGGCTGGTCAACAGCTATAATCTCCGGGTTAGGTTTAACAGCTTCCGCTATCACTTCTGGTTTAGGACATTCAAACACCGCCGCGCATGTGGCGGCCAATGCACTGTCGCTTTTCAGCTTTATGCAATCCCAGGCCATGATTGGTATGACATCTGTTCATATGCCCCCGATCGTTGAGGCGTGGACCCAAAACTTCCAGTGGAGTATGGGTATCATCCATATTGGATTCCTGGAAACCATTTGTACCTGGTATCAAAGATCGACGGGAGGAACGCCTTCAACAACCCTTTCCGAGCTTTCGACAACGTCTGTGCAAGTGCTCAAAAAGCGAACTCTCGACGAAGCCACGGGTTTAGTCAAGAAAGCATCAGACATACTCAAGCGTTCCGGTGCCGAATCCGAGACAGCCAACACCGAGAATCTTGTTGTCCGCGGTATTAAGCGAGTTGGTTTCAAGGCCGGGATTGAGGCGACTAATATTTTTCTAACTGGTCTTATTTTCTTCGTTTTCTTCGTGGCTGTGGTGATGATCCTCGTGTCGCTTTTCAAGGCCGGCTGTGAGGTCCTTGCTAAGAACGGCAAGATGAAGACCGATAAGTTCCAAGATTTCCGTAACGGTTGGAAGATCGTTGCCCGCGGTATTTTGTTCCGACTTACTCTTATTGGTTTCCCTCAGATGACCGTCCTCTGTTTGTGGGAATTTACCCAGCATGACTCTGCAGCTGAGGTTGTCTTAGCTGTGATCATGTTCTTTTCTATTCTCGCGGCTTTGGGGTGGGCTGCCTTCAAGGTCATCCTTCTGGCAAAACGTTCCATTACTATGCATAAAAACCCTGCATACATCCTCTACTCTGACCCTACATGTCTAAACAAATGGGGATTCTTGTATGTGCAATACCGCGCGACTGCATACTATTTTGTCATTCCAGTTCTAGGCTACATCCTTGTTAAAGGCATGTTTATTGGTCTGAGTCAAGAAGCGCCAGTTGTGATGACTGTTGCCTTGGTTATTCTTGAGGCCGGTATGTTGATTGCCGTCAGTGTTCTGCGGCCATGGATGGACAAGAAGACCAACATCTATAATATCTCCATCGCTGCCGTGAACTTCCTCAACGTCATCTTCCTTCTCTTCTTCTCTGAAGTTTTCAACCAACCTGGCCTGGTAACAGGTGTCATGGGTGTTGTATTCTTCGTGATCAATGCCGTATTTGCTCTGATTCTCTTGCTCCTCGTGTTGATCGCGTCCATCTATGCAATCGTCTCGAAGAACCCAGATATGCGGTACCAGCC